CAAAAGTGATTCCATGCACCAGCCAAACCCTCTGTTTATGAATGAAAAACGGTTTACACACGACTCACAACTGATTTCGTTCGAACACTTCCGGAACAAGTGCTTCACTGACGAATTTTGTTCAAACCACAACGCTATAAATGCTTCACCCACGTACTTCAAATACAAATAATCGCCAACTGAACCTAAACACCTAACCTAACCTATGCTAATCTAATCTATGCTAATTACATATGCACAATATGCTAACATATTATAATATTGATTTATATTTGAGAAAATTCCCGTTTTGAATGAACAACATGTAAAAATTTATGAATGCGTCTGTGGGGTCGACCGTTGGATGGAATGGACTTGAGTCGAGGACGGGTAAATCCAATTACTTCAGATTCAAATCATCGCCAACAGAACCTAAACATATAACCAAACCTAATCTTTGCCTAACTATGCATAGAACTTTACTGAATAATAATATTAGCTTATATATATGAGAACAAATTGATTTTTAATATACAAAACTTTAAAAACAAAAAAACTATATATTTTCAAAAATAAATATTAATATATATATATCACCTAGGTGTGGAGGAATATTGTAAAACATAAGTTTAACATAACTAATATTTTTTATTTTAATTTAATCAATTTAATTTAACATTATTTAACAATATTAAACAGCTTTGTGAATAATTAGGCCTAGGTTAGGTTGGGTAGACCTAGGATATGACTGATTATGGTAATCCCAGCATAGCTTAGATAGGGGATTCAGTGCCAATATGTTAGTATTTTCAGTATCTGTTTCTGCCCAGCCAGGTGACAGAGGATCTTGAAAACCGCAGTCAGTAGTATTCAGAGGAACGGAGCACGAGGCTTCTTCTATTGTTAGCCCGGTGCTTGTCCGGCAAGAGTGAGAATGGGGGTGGCTAGCATCAGCCGGGGAGGCGATTTTTAGTACAATTATCTTCAGGAAGAGTTTTCTCGCAGAATTAGCAGCGTGACCCACTTCTGCAGCGGTGATTGTGTGTACACAGCGGCATGTCTGCCAGGGTAGCACAGCAACACGTGGTGGGGGTGCAAAGTACCGGAAGAGTCCACACTAAATTTAGAAACACGGAGACCCAGAATGATTTAAATTTTTTTAATTTTAAAGGCGAGTTTATTGGGCAGCGGCACTCATCTTGCGAGTGCACAGACCTTCAAAGCAGCAATGTACAACTACCTTCTAGTAGTAGGAAGGATGCCCGCTGGGTTGATCTCAAGGGTCGTCAGCCAAAATAAACTATACAACCAACATTCGTCACATTTGATTCACTCGTCGCATGCCCCCAAAAACGGTGATCACGAAATATAATTAAGATCACAGAGTTGAGCTCGGAGTAGACAGTGTAGGGCTAATGGTTCACCCCGTTCTCTCCATTTGCCAGACGGACGGACTGATAGACAGAGACAGACAGAGGGGGGGATTCGTGGACGTGTGAAACCCTTGTTCAGCATAATTGGAAGCCCCGGGAATCCTCGACGGTGCAGTAGCACTCCAGGTTGCAATTCTTTTGACCATGTCGAGACGTAGTCGACTAGAGCATGCATCTGGGAACACCCTGCACATAGGTTCGAATCCTCATCACAGCTTCTGTGGATTTTCTCATTGACTTAAATGTGATTTATCTCTGTATTACCATCACGGCTCCTGTGGATTTTCTCATTGACTTAAATGTGATTTATCTGTGTATTAATGTTATTTTTATATATAATTTTGTAGAATATCATTTAGTATGAATTTCTGCTAGACTAAATTTGCCCACACTCTTGCACAGACTCCTAGCATCTTCCAATGGTAAGCACCACACTAAATACAGAGTACAGTACATGTCATTCATGTAGATACGGGCTATTCATGCCCGTGCCACCTCTTGGGTGGCTTAATCTTTATCAATCAATCAATTCATGTAGAGTACATGTAAATAATAAGAGTATCCCCAGTAAAATAAGATCATGAATTACGAAGGAACTAATGTAACGTAACTCACTTTTTTTCTAGACTCCTGTGCCCTAAAATCCATCAAGGATGAGAGGACAGATTGATTGATTGATAAAGATTAATCCACCCAAGAGGTGGCATGAGCACGAATAGCCCGTAATGAGAGGGCAGTAATACTACCACCAAAATCTTTCTTTACATTACAGGTTGCAAGTGTAACTTTGTATATCCCAATAATGATCAATTGTTGCTATGAAGAATACCTTGTTGTGATTAAAGTATTGTAAAAAAAACATGAATTCATTGAGAAAATATTGTTGTACTTCTAATCAAATTGCATGGTCAATGATTACCAAATTTACCTAAGGGCCACCATGAGTAATTAAGGGTTGGAGGTAATTAAGAGTGGTAGATTCCCAGGCACAGATAACCAGGCGAGATATGGATAAATTTGTGAATAATTTACTTTAATCGAATGTGCCTTATTGTATATAAATAAATAAATATATAACACGTGAATCTTTACATGTATAAGATGTATACATATCAAGATTAAAACATTCTGGAAACTTGGTTTATCATCTGAATACACTAAAATGTGCCTCTTCATATTTCCAAGATAACCAATCACCCGAATCCACTAACACTGGAGTCTTCATATATCCATGCTGACCGAATCCCTTCCTGTTCTCTGGACATATTAATAATAATAATAATAATAATAATAATAATTTATTTGAAAGAAGGTACAATGGGTTGGTGAGATTACATAAGATTAGTATTTTTACATTCATGCAAAGCCACCAATACGCATAGCATTTCGGGCAGGTCCTTAATCACCTTGCCTCACCAAACTGTACGTGCATGCCTTTAGTCGTGATGCCGAAGCCAGTAACATTAACTTCAAAGCTTCACATTCATCTCTTGGGTATTAACCCAACTGGTGGTAGATATCCAAAGTGCATCCTGAGAAAAGTGTGGTAAGGCAAGATGCCCACTCCACTTGCTGCAACCAGTCTTGAGAAGTATGCTCATACTGTATCTCTCAATGAATGCATTTATCTTATCTGTACAGTCACAAAACATGGCCAACATCGGTAACTTATTTTTCGAGAGAGACGCCTGCACAATACTTCCTCTTTAACTTAGGTAGTAGTTGAAGGTGTGTGACTGCTCTTTTTATCTATAAATCTGCCAACAAGGATACGTATGTATTCATAATATGGATAACAAGGATATGATGTATTCAGAATACATCCACAATATATTTTATTTTTTCTTTCATGCCAAGGCCTAGCAAAGCTACTGTTATGTGAAGTTTCTTCAGAATCTGACACTTAAGTGAACTAGCAAGTATATTTACAGTACAGTACCTCCAGCAATAATTTGTAGAATTTTATAAACCTATTATGTTTTTAAGACGTTTTCACCGAGAATTTCTGGGAAATCTCGTTACACAAATGAACCTTGCAATCTTTGGTGTTTAGATAACCCATAAATCAAAGTGATTATATTCCACTCTAAAAATCTAAAGGAGCCACATTTATTTGGGTGGCAAGTGTTATTTTGTCTAATGATAACTCAGGTTGGTCAGTTGTGACTGCCCTTTGCAGTGATATGTAAAAAGAACACAAAACTGGACCCTTAACAAGACTTGAAGTATCACAACCTCAGGTAGATATTAACCTAGGATCAGAGGGATCAAACCATCTCTTACTGGAGCTGTCACTAGACACAATGATCTACAACTCTCAGCTGTCCTGCAACTCGTTCTTACAAATTAAGCTTGAGAAGGGCCTCGATACAATTACAATCTCAGCATCATCATATTTACAACACTAGAGGGATATGATTCTTAGAATATAGCCTTTTAAGAATGCAAAGTTTATTCAAGGGTTCAGGAAAAAATTTGTAACGGTATATTTAATAACTATCTATAATCTACACAGAGTACATAAACAAAATTGGAGGGTGATGTTACATAAGTGGCAAGGCAAAGCTAGGCCATAACATTATGTGACTGGAAAGACCACTGCCATTCTGCACTATGGACACTATGGGAAACATGAGTTTCCCTTCAGTACAGGTGTTCAGAAATTAATAATGTAACTTAATCTACCATGTGCATGTAGCCATGCATCTCTGGAATTAAATCCAGACATGGGCAAATAACATTTGCAATAACAATGCATTTGTTCTCACTTAGCACTGCCATAAAGAATCCCTATTTCACCTTGTATGGCAATGTTAGAGAAATACAAGTTGCCTGGATACAAGTAAGTTTTGCCAAGAGATTTTAGTACTTAGTTTTACAGGAATACACATACACAGTTATGGTATGCAGAAATGTTATGAGGTATGTGGCAACAATCGAATGTGTACAACAGATGTTGAAGAGCTAGTGCATGGTGCAGTCACGAGTTGGTCAGCTGTCTTTGCAAGAATGCTTTAAGTAGTAACAGCAGTCTGTAATTCTGATGCAGATGGTGGCGACATGCAGATGGTTATATAACCAGCCAGATAACCATAGTCTAGTTGCAATGGCTACGCTTATATTTTTCAAAGTATAATGGCTCCGTTTGGCATGAAGGATTCACATGGTTTGACCAGATATATCTCTCATATACTAGTATATATAAACAAAGAAGACCAATCATACATTGGTCTTCTTTGTTTGGTATTTATGAAGGTATTGTATGGCATTATGCAGGTAGAGATATGTAAACCACATCTCTACCTGTTTAATACACATTTCAATACAATACTGCACTCCAGTTGACAAGAGATGGTGGTAAACAATTACATGTATTTGCCATTGTCAAAATATTCAAAGAAAACTTTAAATACTGTAACTATAACTTCAATTTGACTAGGCCTATTGTTAAACTATTCTAAAACACTGTTTAGCTATTAGACAACTATCTCCCCTATTCGGTTTTACAATAATTACCATTTAACCATCATCGGGAATCGAGTATTGTAAAAAATTACTGTTAATATTTAGGACATTTAAAACAAGTGAAATCTGAAATGTATTTATTCATATATATATATACACACATCTATACTTTTCCAGCACAAATAGAATAACAATTGCAGTACAAAGTATTTCATAATTAACTAGTAAATTAAAAAAAATACAGTACAGTACAGAACACGTACTGGATTGAATTTGGGACTATGGTACTGATTTCACAACTAGTCACTGCAAGATACAGTAGATGGAATACATTAGCTTCTCAGACAGTACTGGTACTGTATATACAGTACTGTATAGACTTGTAATGTGTTGATGTACAAAATACAGTAGGACAAAATACCTTACCATACAGATGAAGACAATTTTCTTTAAAAGAAAGAAAAATAACGAGACTACTGTATTTATTTGAGCTGGATCGTATAACAGATCACTTGACTGCATATTGTCTTCGATGAATTCTAAACCTCAACGGATGGGGATCCATTTTTGTAGGACGTCGGCATATTTCTTGCGCTCTGTAAATAAACAAGGCAATTAATGACAATTTCAGAGAAAAACTGCTATATACCTTTTAAAAATGTGAAACATTATGTGCATGTAAAATGTAACGTCTAGTATTGTAAATAACATTTAATAGTGATAAAGAATGTTTCAATCCAATTTTAAGTACAATTTTCATTAATGAGTCAATTAATGTAGAATAGAAAATGTTAAGATAATTAACATAATACTGTAAGAAGGAAAAAGAATACTTCCATGAAGAAATATTAACTTATTAAACACTTCCAACACTACATTTACTAGATAAAATACAGGGTGTCCCAGGATTAGCTATATTTCTATGAAATTGTATTTTTCTTTTACACTTATGTTTAATGGTGTTTATCATGTTTAATGTGCATTATAAATGAAGTAATTAAGAAATGTTTACATCTCTTTTTCAGAACACCTTTGTTGTGTCATCCCATATCAAAGGATTGCAATATTATGAAATCAGAGAAAGATATTTACGCAGTCCCCCATGGCGTAGTGGTAAAGCACTCGCCCGGCACTTCGCAAGTGCTTTGGCCTGGTATCGTATTCTGGCCGGGGAGGATTGACCGGATGCCAATCCTTAACTGTAGCTTCTGTTCACCCAGCAATGAATTGGTACCGGGTTGTTAAAACATTTGGTGGGTCATATTCCGGGGAAAAAATTTGGATTAAGGACCTTCCCGAAATGCTATACGTGCTTGTGGCTTTACAAAAATGTAAGAATGCTTGTATATTTAAACAAAAAATACACAAGGAAATTTAACGCCAGAAATAACTTTAACAAAAAGTTATGTCTGGCAATGCAAGACGTAACTCCTGCCGTGTGCAGGCGATGAGTCACAATAACGTGGCTGAAGGATGTCAACCAGATCACACACTAGAAGGTGAAGGGACGACGACGTTTCGGTCCGTCCTGGACCATTCTCAAGTCGATTGTGATGAGGGAGTTGATGCTCCTGCCGTGCTTCGAAATGTGTTTTGCAAAGCTAAGATCCAAACGAGAAAAAGCTTCCGGTTCAACTGGCATTCCAATGGAATGAGTTGTGTTCAACTGGAAATATACAGTACAGTATCTTTTATATTTCACTCGGGATTCTTTTTCAAAGTCTAAAAACAAATACAATACAGAAAATTTAACAAATGCAAAATAAAACTGCATTTAATAAAGAAAACCAGGTAAATAATTGCAAATTTATTTTTTAAATTTGCATAACTACTGTTTTGTATACTGCACTAAACTAGGTAGTAATTATTGGGAGAAAGCACAAAGCCATTACGACTATATAGCACTGGGAAGGGATCTGGATAAGGATTTGGGATGGGACAGGGGGAGGAAGAGGAGGAAAAAACCGTGCCCAACCACTTGGATGCAGACAAATCTGTTTACTTACGAATTGGAGGAAAGTCCTCTGGATGGGCAAGAATATAGTGGTACAATATGTGATCCCTCTCGGCCGCCCTGTTCTGCAACCATCTCCCTCCAATAATGCCGGCAATCACCCCAGCACTAGCCAGAAGTACATGTATTTGTAGACCTGTGTAAGAAGAGGTGCATTTCACTTATATAGCTTCACATCTAATACATTCTACTGTACTACAAAACTTAAGTTATGCTTTTACCAATGGCAATTTATTCAGGCACTGATCACTATGCTTTGCTGCATTAAGGAAAATAAAGAGGGATGGGTTTTAGAAATTTAATGTGCTTCACAAGGGTAATGGTGAATAAAGGTACCGTACCCACTTTGCATAGCAAAAATGAAAATGCGCACTGAAAGAACAGTATTGTTTATAAATTCTCATTTAAAACAAATGGTCCCGCCTCTCAACTGTCAATCAACTGGTGTACAGGTTCCTGAGCCTACTGGGCTCTATCATATCTATATTTGAAACTGTGTATGGAGTCAGCCTCCACCACATCACTGTCTAATGCATTCCATTTGTTAACTACTCTGACACTGAAAAAGTTCTAACATCCCTGTGGCTCATTTGGGTACTTAAGTCTCCACCTGTGTCCCCTTGTTCGTGTACCACCCATATTAAATTAATGTGTAATTACCTAAGTGTAATGTCGTGTCATAGCTGTGGGGCTCCACCTCCAGAAACCAAGTACTGTATACCCCATTGATCAAGTTTATATTTTCTTAAAAGTAATTATTAAGGCAATACTGGGAGGCTTCACAACACTGATAAACTGAGCGACATATCCAGGAATACTTGAATTTACGCGAGAGCCAATAACACTAGTGGCCTTAACGAGGACAGGAAGCCGGTGGCTTGTCAAAGGTTCCCCCCCTCCCCCTTTGTGCTATTTGAGAAAATACGCTACGACTTACATGTTAAAACTGTGATCCAGGATACTAACAGTGTACCAAATGGTTATCCAATACGAACCACAGACCCTATTTGTTTATATTACGAACAGCAACCAAAATGTCAACTGCCTATGTCCTCTCAGTTGGGTTAAGCACTGTCCACGCTGGCCAGTAAAGGGATGGGAGACAGCAAACCAACAGGCTTCCTGCCCCAGAAAATCGTACCCAATACCCTAAGTCATGGCCAAAAGGCCCAAAGAGTTACAAGCCAGACTACTGAAGGACTTCAGATTAACAGCTGATTCAACCACCACCACGTAACTCACCACTAAACAGTGGCTTCCTGTTCATTGCATTCGAAAAGCAAGCAGCACCCACGCCTCCGGCACCCAACACTGTTGGGAACCAGAGTTTCCTGAAGAGAGCTGGCTCGGGGCATGGTAAATCAGGGTTGAAATAATCTGCTGGGTTAATTTCCGTCCTGTCGTCTCGCTCCATGTTGTGGTGGTCCGCCGGTCTGCTGCTCATTGGACAATTATGGAGATTTCATTATATTTGCTTTAATTAGAAGAAGATCATGTCATAAAACACAATTATTCTTCGTAATTTCAATTTTCTTTACGTATCATTTATGCTATATTCCTTGCAAATACAAATAAAATGAAATTTTGTCCATATTCACAAATTCTGATTGGCGGCCTCATCCAGAGAAAACGTTCCTCCTTCCCCTCGAGGCACCCCTAACTTTACTAACTTGTTTGTTTAACACTGTAACAATGGGTTGAATACCAACGTTCTAGAACATAAGAACAAAGGTAACTGCAGAAGGCCTATTGGCCCATACGAAACAGCTCGTATTTATAACCACCCAATCCAACTCATATGCAAGTCCAACCCACGTTTGAAACAATCGAGGGACCCCACCTCCACTACGTTACGTGGTAATTGGTTCCACAAGTCAACAACCCTGTTTCCGAACCAGTATTTACCCGAGTCTTTCCCAAATCTAAACTTATCCCATTTATACCCAATAGATAGTTCTAATAGATTTACATTAGAATTCTAGCTTAACCTTAATGACAAGCACACATGAAGCACCCCATACTCATCCTGTGAGCAGGATGATGTGTAATTACACATCACAGGATGAGTATGGGGTGCACAATAAACTACCCCTCACAGGATGAGTATGGGGTGCACATTAAACTACCACTCACAGGATGAGTATGGGGTGCACAATAAACTACCCCTCACAGGATGAGTATGGGGTGCACATTAAACTACCACTCACAGGATGAGTATGGGGTGCACAATAAACTACACTCACAGGATATAAATATGTTGCATACCTGAATTTACCTGAGGGCCACTGTCATTAGTGACCTCGACGAGGACAGGTAGCCGGCGGCTTGTCAAAGGTTCCCCCATTTGCCTTACTTTTTTTCCAGTTGGATTTTGAAATTCAACAGTCTTGGTACTTATACAATAAACTACCGGCTCCTGGTTCAACCTTGACGCCGAGCGGACGTCTGGACACCTCCTCCGCCTGGGTGCCGCCGGATCACGTCTTGTTTCCGCGTTTTGCTACTGCCGTTTGGCATCCCTCTTCAACGGTCCGATTGTACGACGCCTGGCGCACATATCGCCTTGGGTCACGGGATTGTTGATAGATTTTTTTTTGACGTGTTCTGGCTGGTTCTCCCGCCGGGGTGACGGTGTTCGGGGGCCGGCTTGGCCGAGAGGTGCCGGGGGTTGGTGGGTCTTGGTGGGCTCCTGGTGTGCCCTCAGTCGTGGTGGGCGGCCGGCTTCTGCTCTGCCGGAGGACGCTGATTGACTTTTTGCGTTTTAGTTGGGGGCAGAGTTTTGGGTTTGCTACCTGGTGTTCTCTGTGTGGGGCGGGGCCGGTGCTTGTCACCCTGAGGGACTCCTGGGGCTCCCCAATCATCTGCCCGTTTGAGTTTTTCGCCACTTGGCGTATTAGTTTCAAGTGATTGGCGTCACTCTCTTAAAATAAATAAATAAATAAATAAATAAATAAATAAATAAATAAATAAATGTTTATTTAGGTAAGGTACATACATAAAGAGATTTTACAAAGTTTGTTGGGTTAATAGATAGAGCTAGTACATACATTGCCTAAAGCCACTATTACGCAAAGCGTAATAGATTCAGATGTTTATTCAGGTAAGGTATATACATACAAGTGATGTTACATTAATGGATTGATATATAGATAGAGCTAGTACATACAATGCCTAAAGCCACTATTACGCAATGCGTTTCGGGCAAGAAAAACATTAATATCTAGAACTTAATACTAATTGAGCATAAAGAATAAAAGATGTTGAGAACAAATACAAATAAAGATAAAAAAAAAGGGGGAACATGACTGAAAAAGCAGCACAAATACAATAGGTTGACAAACAGTGTTGATTAAAAAAAAAGAAAAAAAAAAAAAAAATAGTGGCTTTATTTATATTTATATGCCCGAAACGCTTTGCGTTTCGGGCAGGAAAAACATTAATGACTAAAGCTTAAAACTAATGGGTAAAAAGAATAAAATGTGTTGAGAACAAATAAAAATAGAGGTAAAAGAGGGGGGAACCTGGTTGAAAAAGCAGCACAAATACAATTACAAATTATTGCAGAAAATTACATTCAAACAGCGTTGTTTTGAAAAAAAAAAACAGAAAACATACATGGGTTGACAACAGAGGGGTAAGGTAGGTTACAGGGAATTTATTAGGTAGTGCTTCGTTTTTATCTTAAACTGGTTGAGAGAGGTACTGTCTTTAACATGGTTGGGAAGATCATTCCACATTCTGGGTCCCTTGATTTGAAGAGCATTTCTAGTATGATTAAGTCGTACTCTAGGAATATCAAAACTGTATTTATTTCTGGTGTGGTGCTCATGGGTTCTGTTACAACCTTCAATGAATCTTTTGAGGTCAGGATTGGCATTACAGTTCAGCGTTTTATATATGTGTGTAATACACATGAGAGAATGTGCAATGACTTAATATCTAACATATTCAGAGATTTGAGTAGGGGTACCGAGTGATGTCTGGGGCTAGAGTTGGATATTGTCCTAATAGCAGCTTTGTGTTGAGTAATTAGAGGACGTAAATGATTTTGGGTAGTAGAACCCCAAGCACAAATACCATAGTTGAGATATGGATAGATGAGGGAGTAATAGAGAGTCACCAGGGCAGGGCGTGGTACATAATATCTGATCTTAGAAAGAATGCCAACAGTTTTTGAAACTTTTTTTGATATATTTAGAATGTGTCCCTGGAAATTCAGCTTGTGGTCGATGAGAACGCCAAGGAATTTGCCATCTAATTTGTTACAAATTTGGGTATTGTTTATTTTGAGATTTATATGATTAGAGGATTTATTGCCAAACAGAATATAAAACGTTTTGTCAATGTTAAGGGTGAGTTTGTTGGCAGTTAGCCAAAGATGGACTTTCTCTAGCTCAGTATTTACTGTGGCATTTAGAGCAAGGGGGTCAGGACTGGAGTAAATGAAGGTTGTCGTCAGCAAATAGAATTGGTTTGAGGTGTTGGGAGGCATTTGGAAGGTCATTAATGTAGATGAGAAAGAGGAGAGGGCCAAGTATGCTGCCCTGAGGAACACCAATGTTGATGGGTAGGGTGAGAGAAATTGTATTATTCACAGAAACATACTGGAGCCTGTCAGTAAGATAAGATTTGAGGTATTGCAGGGAGTGTCCTCTGACTCCATAATGATGTAATTTAAGATTAAGCGATTAGTCTTTCATTAGATTAGCATCCGATCCCACGATCGTCGTTGCCCCTAAATCAACAACAATAAACTACCGCTCACAGGGTGAGTTTGGGGGGTACAATAAGCACGCGCTAACAAGATGAATATAGGATGCACAATAAACTACCACTCACAGGATATGAGTATAGGGTACACAATAAACTACTGCTCATAAGATGAGTATAGGTTACACAAAAACTATCGCTCAAAGAATGAGTATGGGTGCGCAATCAATTTCGTTCTCGACTCGCAATCTGGGATCCCGGGTTCGAGATTTCCCGAGCGGGATGGAAATGGTTGGGCAGGTTTCCTTTCACCTAATACCACTGTTCACCTAGCAGCAACTACTAGGTAAACTACTATTCAACTAGTAGAGTTGCCTAGGCAACTGTTGTTGGGTTATATCTGGGAAGTTCAGTACAGTAGTTCGACCTCAGTTGAGTTTAGTTTGACTTCAGTTCAGTTCGACCTTTGGGGGAGGATTCGAACCTCGATAAAAGCCTAAAGTGTATCTACGTGCTTCCTGTCCCTCCCCCAACAAAACAAATTATTATTACTGCTCACAGGATGAGTATGGATGCACAATCAACTATATCCGTCATTGGGGACAACAATAAACACAATTTAGGAAGCTGTCTTTAATGAGTGAATTATCAGGTAGACAGGAGGAGGCCATTGATAAAATCACAGTCTATAGTTCTGTTTACTGTTTGTTACATAACGCTTTAGCTGTCTGTATCATCATGATGAGTATTCGCATTAACCACGGATGATGGGTTTTGGTGTTCAGTGGTGTGCATCATTTCTAACAGTGGAGGATTCTGCCGGGTTGAAACCCACTAAGAGGAGACTTTCTACCTAAGACTATCAGGAGACGGGGCTGTCTCCTGTCACCTCTAGCAAGAGAAAATAAGTACCCAGGAGTTAGGTAATTGTTGTGGATTCCATCATGGGGGAAGAACAGCAGTTCTACCCAGTGGTAATCGTGATATAACTGAAATTAAACGTTGTCAATCTTAAAATATGATTTTCAGTTGAATGCATGCAGATTAAATACCAGTGAAAGCCTATAGATTGTTAACAATAGTTTCTTTAAATAAGTATTTAATCAGAAATTATTAAAATTATACTTTAACTAAAAGAATTGATGCAAAAAAAAATATATTCAAGGAGCCATAAACAGAAAATAATTTGATCCAGCTCTCGGACATGGGCAGTAACGTCAAGTCCCAGCTGATGCTGCTCACAGCCTCCAAAGGCGTTTCCTGATTGGTCAGTTCAAGCATCCCGCCCTGATCTTCCTCTGTGCTGACCAATGGCATCACTTCCTTTAACTTAGAGTCTCAAACTAGGATGCTATTGGCGGAAAGGAACATTTCCCGCGTTATTCAGTGTTAGTACAGGTTTGGCGCCCTCTAGCAGCTCCAGCACAGACTTGCTGGGTAGATCGTCCTTCTTGCTCCGGACTTTTTGGACTTTGAACTCTTTGAAATGGTGCGGCCGCAGGAGAAGATGTGGTCAAAGATGTACGTCCTCAAGAGAGGTATGTAACTGGCGCTTGTTATAGTTGCTTGAGCGGTAGTTCAAGTTTTAGTGTGGCTCTGAGGTGATTAAAATTGTATCCTTTACGTCCCATAGTTTCTCTTAACTATTTTTTCTTGTATTTCTGGCAAGAAATGTGTATAATGAAGCTAAAGTGTTCAACAAATACAAATATGATGTATATTGTTTATACATTTAGTAACCGGAAAAACGGAAATTGTTGTTGACTCCTCGAGGCTTGTGCAACATGAACCGTTGCAAGTCTTAAGTAGTTTGATTGTATCTGTTGGCGGTGTTCTCTACATCAAAAGTAGTTTTGAATATTTGGAGAGTAAGAAGTAAAGCTTCCCTCAGTGCCGAGGTTCCCAGGCTAGTTCCTGGCTTTGTAATTGTTTCATAACATTGTTTAATAAATGGTTGACATGACAAGATTTACAAGTGGATGAATGGACACAACAAAGGGGATATTAATAGGGTATTAAAAGTATCAACACAAGACAGAACACGAAACAATGGGTATAAATTGGATAAGTTTAGATTTAGGAAAGACTTTGGTAAATACTGGTTCGGTAACAGGGTTGTTGATTTGTGGAACCAATTACCACGTAATGTGCAGGACGGTCCCTCGATTGTTTCAAGCTCGGGTTGGACGTGTATATGAGTGGGATTGGGTGGTTATAAATAGGAGCGGCCTCGTATGGGTCAATAGACCTTCTGCAGTTACCTTTGTTCTTATATTCTTATGCCCAATCATTTCTGTCCCGTCGAGGATTCTGGATTTAGAGTTGAGAATGAAGCAAACTGTAGTACTGTACTAGCAGGACATTTATGGTATTTTATCTGCAAATGATGTTTTTTCTTTTTGAGTATCTAATATAGTATGAAAACGATAAAACATTAATCTTGTATTGGCAGTTAACTTTCAGGACATAATGATAGTTAAAAAAAATTAACAATTGAAAATACTGTACTTGGCAGTTTCATTTTGTCATAAATCATACTAGTGATATCTATTCTATATCATATCTATGCTATATCTATGATAACATATCTATATCTTATCTATGATATATCTATAATATCTAATCATACTAGTTTAGTGCTTTATCCTGATAGTGAGTACCTTATCTAACTCAAGATTTAAGCCATGGCATATGAGAAAGATTTCACTTAAGTCATTCAAAATGCCAAGGCAGTACAGAACAAGCATTTGTAGTTCTTGCTTAACCAAAGACATTTTTTGGGGTTGGGTGAAGTCCAAATAACCACGGACTACATGTGTTTAGCAAGCAAATACGTGGTGTTGGTTGAAGTTGGAAGATTGGAGCCAAATAAAAGCTTCGCCTTATGAATTCATGAGTTCTCACCCATCATTATTTACTTACAAGTACAGGTGTATATATATAAATAGAAACGGGAACTTTGTTCTATCTATCGACTTGAGAATGGTCCAGGACGGACCGAAACGTCGTCGTCCTTTCACCTTCTAGTGTGTGGTCTGGTCAACATACTTTAGCCACGTTATTGTGACTCCTCGCCTGCATTTGTTCTATACAGTTGATTAAGGTTTTGGCTTTTTCAAAGGTAATTTGAATAACTAAGAAGAACATTGCAGCTCTTATGATCAAATTCTTATAGATTAGTTTTCATTAATTTTTACCTTGTGGTAGTATATTTTTTAATTTGGTAACTGGATGATGGTATTTAGGTGTTGCACTTTGTCTATGCAGCCTTGTGTCTAATGATTTCTTTCTTCCAGTTCCTTTAACATATGCAATAAAATCCACACATGTTGCCAAAGAAATGTCAAAGAATTAGCCTCATCTGGTTCATTAGAAACAAATTTTAATGTTGCTCATAATTTTTACTTGCATAGTTTTACATAGTTGCTCATTTTAACTTGCTCATAGTTCTTGTTTACTTAACATAAAAGTTAATACAGTACATTTGAGACCTGTCAAGTCTTGTTATTGTAAGTTTTGTATATTGTATTAATCTCCAATGCCACTAGGAAGTTGTATTTTTCTTCTAGTATATATATATCTCGCTCCGGATGCTCAATACTGCTCAAGAGTGATATTTTTCAATCGTTTACGAAATAAAGCTCGTTAACCTTGTACTAATACTGAGCTGGCACTTGTGCAGTTGAATTCTCGTTTTACTGTACTGTACTTTGTTTTGCAGATGGGCGTCAAGAACCTGTCATGTTTGACAAGATAACCTCCCGCATTCAGAAACTTTGCTATGGTCTTAACATGGACTTCATTGACCCGGTAAGTAAGTGGGTTACAAATTACAATTTTTGTATTAAATGTTAAGCCTTGGATTAACTTTCATAAAATTTACTTTTTTTTTTTTAATTTTGATTATATTTCCTTGTTTACTTTCTCAATTTTCCTGATATTTCCTTGTTTGCCTTCTCAATTTTCATCATATTTCCTTGTTTGCCTTCTTAATTTTCCTGATATTTCCTTGTTTGCCTTCTCAATTTTCCTGATATTTCCTTGTTTGCCTTCTTAATTTTCCTGATATTTCCTTGTTTGCCTTCTCAATTTTCATCATATTTCCTTGTTTGCTTTCTCAATTTTCATCATATTTCCTTGTTTGCTTTCTCAATTTTCATCATATTTCCTTGTTTGCTTTCTCAATTTTCATCATATTTCCTTGTTTGCTTTCTCAATTTTCATCATATTTCCTTGTTTGCTTTCTCAATTTTCATCATATTTCCTTGTTTGCTTTCTCAGCCTGCAATCACCTTGAAGGTGATCAATGGACTATATACGGGAGTCACGACGGTGGAATTGGATAATCTTGCGGCCGAGACGTCGGCAACCATGACCACGAAGCACCCTGACTACGCTGTTTTGGCGGCAAGGATTGCCGTCTCAAATCTCCACAAGGAGACCAAGAAATCTTTCAGTGGTACGTTTAGTGGTTTCACTGGTATATCTTTGATGAATCTTAGATAAGTGTCTTGTTGGTGGTTTTGTTGAGGTAGTTAGTTCCTTTGTATTCATGTTAAAATGTCAAGCATTTGAACTAACGTGATGAATGTCCACAGAGGTCATGGAGGATCTGCGTAACATGACCAACAAGAAAACTGGAATGAAGATGCCTATGATAGGTGAAAGCTATTACAAAATCATCATGGACAATGCTGATAAATTGAACTCTGCCATTATCTATGATAGAGACTTTTCATACAATTACTTTGGATTTAAGGTTAGTCATTTAAAATTAAATTTTTTTAAAATGGATTTCTAAAATGTGTGTTAATTCTAGTGCTTTTTGGTCAGGAAGTGTTTTATCCATTCCAGTATTATTGTAAGGATAAATACCTTCATATTGAACATAAAATATAGGGCCCCCTATAGCAACCAGGAGGCCTGGTCGACGACCGGGCCGCGGGGACGCTAAGCCCCGGAAGCACCTCAAGGTAACCTCAAGGTAGGCAAGGTAAGGTAACCCCCCTGGAGTGAACATGGTAAAAGAACAATGATAGCGCTTTAGTCGTTTGAAATATTGCCCTCTGTAGGCAGATTTACTGCCTAACAGTAGGGCAACATAACTTTTAAAATTTCCAATTTCAGTTGACATTTATTGGCATGCTAAATGAAGCCTAGGAACCCATGGATATAGTGAGTGCTATGTAGAAATGCACTACTAGCTAAGTGCTGTCTTCCAAACTATTAAATCCTATCTTTTCCAATTACAGGATCTTGGTTAGTACCTTAACATTATGAAACCTTGATACTTTGCATTGTCATATGCAACTTTGAGTTTCCTTGGTCTACCTTTCTTAATACAATTTAACAACTAATGTGAATGTATAAAATTGAATATTTGTAGATGGCACCTGCCCCTACTTGTACATATTGATTGAATTTGTGTAGTGTTAGAATTAGTCTGTATTGTTAAGTTGCATGGCGAATGAGCTGCACCATTTAGGTTTCTGGCAAAGCAGGTAAAGGTTCTTCCGAGTCACTGGTGTTGGAGTGTCCAACCTCAAGATCAACTAATAAATGGAAGGGGGAAAAAAGGTCTTGTTTAAATTATTTTTGAGGGGTTGTGGATTCGGTAACCATTACATTTTAAGACATGTCAACTATCGTTAATGGGGTCCTATATTCTTTAAAGTGATACACACATGGAAGTCACTGGTATGAGTTAGTTAGCCCATTCTGGGCAGTGTTCGTATGGGTGAACTGCTGTGAGTAATTAGTGTAATAGTGTAAATAGTGATAGTGTAGTCTTTAATGTGTAATATTCAAGCACTGCCTATTAAATGACCACTGTAATCTGATTCTCTTTTATAAATAATGTATACAACCCTTCTCCCCAATGTGTCTCCTGACCATACTAGTACTTCACTATATCCTTCCTGAAGGTGAACTTCTCCAGCTTCTAGCTATTATTGTGGGTTCTAACCTGTTTGATAGTTTTAAAACCTTGCTTATCTCAGATACCCCTCATCCACTTGTCATGTCTATATCAACGTTGAACTGCATATGTCACTTTCCTACATAGCTCTAATATCATGGTCTTTATGGCATTCAGTCCTCATTATTTTACCCTACATACAGTCCTCGCCATTTGCCCTACTGTGCTATTCACAAAGTTGCAGATATTAAAAAAATATGCTTTAACATTTATAATTGGGAAAGTTTACATGAAAATTACAGTACATTAATCACACAAGTCACAATAACTAACAGCATAGCATATAAACAGTTATTATCAGAATCAGAAACCTAATTTGTAATAACTTCTACAAATCTCTACGTCATTGCACAGGTCCCAAAACAGACCCCGGGACAAACCACTAGTGACATTGCTCGACTCAGGCTTCACCTGTTAATGCAGTTTCTACCCTTGAGCCAGGCTAGGTTAAGTCTAACATTCCCTCCAACAATGTTACGGGCTTCAACCTTCCTGATCAGCCTCTTGTGGAGTAGTAGTCGGTCCTTACTAAGGTCTATATTGATGTAATTGTTATTGCTGTTAAGTACCTTGAATACGCTACTGTAGGACTGTAGATTTGCAAGACAAGATCCCCTTCACAAGAAACCTTATTTAGGCTTCCTCAGTCCACATGTGCATTTTCCTGTTGAATTTACTATGGTGTCCACGAGGCACTTTCCCAGCATCATGTCCGGGTACTCAAATGGTAGTTTACAGCAAGGGATTGTCCCCCTTGAATATCAGGATGTTGGCCACCTCCAAGGCAGGTTGATATTCGTGTTTTATTATTAGTCACTTATTTTCTATGCATTCAAAAGATAACTCGAATATCTCGTCGGGTCTGGTCATCTGCCCAAGTACCTATTTACTGGTTGGTAAAAGGAAATGTACCCAAACTTCTGGTATAAAATTTTGAACCTGGGTCTTTTCGGTCGTGACCCAACTGCTGCTGACTGGTAACCCGACTGCTGCTGACTGTTGAGCTGTAAGGTGATCTATTGAGTATCATACCCTGGGTAAAAAAATTTTGTTTGGATTATGTGCTATTTCTGCTTTGTTGCAGTTTATTAATTTTGTAAAGTCTCTATATATTACTTAGATTAACTATTTAACCTTTGAGTAAATTTAAGTATCCATGTAAAGTATGTTTTCTATTATTGTTATGAAATATATGTAACATACCTGGTCCGCTCCTTATTTTCAGACTCTGGAGCGCTCGTATTTGCTGAAAATTGATGGGAAAGTTGCTGAACGTCCGCAGCAGATGTTAATGAGGGTGGCAGTTGGCATTCACGGAGAAGACATTGATGCAGTCATTGAGACTTACAACTTGCTTTCCGAGAAGTGGTTTACTCACGCATCCCCGACACTTTTTAATGCCGCTACATGCCGGCCACAACTGTCCAGGTGCTCAATTTTCCTTTTACTCTATAGCTGCTATAATTCAATTTGATATGCAAATGAGTCGAGCCAGTGAAAACCATGACCAGTTATTTTTGTCTGAATGCTACTGTTAAATTTACAAGTATTAAGCTTAGTAAAAATACTTAATACAAGTATTAAGCTTAGTAAAAAAGTGCTCAATTACTTACTGTAATTGAGCACTTCTAATTATCGTAAAAAATCTGCATTTCATAAAAATACTGTGTGCCGCCTGTACACTATTTAGTCATATAAATTCTTTGTCAACACTTTGAAGGAAGTAGGATTTAATCTTAAATTTTATAAGAATGTAGTGATACTTTTATTTGTTGTGGCTAATGTAAATGTTTCATTTTGCTCTAGTTGCTTTTTGTTGACCATGAAGGATGACAGCATTGAAGGCATTTACGACACACTAAAGCACTGTGCACTCATATCAAAATCTGCCGGTGGAATTGGTCTGAATGTGCATTGTATCAGATCGATGGGAAGCTATATTGCTGGAACTAATGGTACCTCCAATGGTTTGGTGCCTATGCTGCGAGTATATAACAATACAGGTACAGTAATTACTGTTGATGGTTATAAATATAAGTTTATTAAAGATAATTTGAGTTATAACACTTGGAGAAAATATAACCATTCGAATTATAGTAAACTTTGGTTTAGTCTATAATCAATAATATTGTCATAGTAAACTGACAATATTATTGGTTATGAGGGTGGAGGGAATTTAATAAACTTCAGAGAATGAAAAATTCACCTTGGAGTCGGTTCTAAGAGTTCTTTTACTCAAAGCTTGACCTGTGGCCCAGGCTTTTCGTCTTGTGATGTAACGTTTCTCAATTCACACTGAACATTATTGCTAAATATTCCTGCCACTTCCCAGTAACAAATATGGTGCATAATGATTGCAGAATGTAAGCAGGTGCCACGTGACAAGAATGTAATAAATATTTAAAATTTAATCTTGTAACACGAGTCAATCTTGCATGACGTAAACATTGCTCCATGTAGTGCGTACTTGGTCCGTTCTCTCGATTTGCCACTGATGAATGAAAATGTTTTGCCTACAAGAAATGTACACAGACAAGCAATGCACCTGACCTGTCAACTTTTTATGCTGATATGGCTTAGCTGAAGGGAATGTAAATAATAAGGGCATTGAAGTGTGCAGTTGAAGAGAACTATCAGTGAGATTTGGGATGCCCTCATTTACATGACTCCAAATTCCTACTTATGTCACGTCAAAATTGATGTTGATAAGCTTAATATACGTCATTTTAACTTGTTTAAAGTTCGTGGCAAGTTATATTTTTTATTGAAACGAGCCAATAAATATTGGCTCGTTTCAATAAACCTGCTCTTTCCTGCTCTTCTGAAACCTGTTCAGCCCTGCTCTTTTTTCTGATTGATAAGGAATGGGCAACCAGTTTGGTACTTGGGTTGTATTATGGTGCTTACACACACAGATCACACTAACGTGATGCATCAAATGAACAAATCCACAAGGGCCGTGACGTGTATCCTCGTCACGGCCCTTGTGGATTTGTTCAGTATGGTGCTCTTTAATATCTTATTACCATTTGGAGTTAAAGTACAGTAATTCATGTGTATTTTCAGCACGTTATGTTGACCAAGGAGGTAACAAGAGACCAGGTGCATTTGCTATATATTTGGAGCCCTGGCACCCAGATATCTTCGATTTCCTTGATCTGCGCAAGAATACTGGCAAAGTAAGTGGTACAACCATTTGGTTTCTAATCTCCTATTGCTATTTAATTTCAGTGCCTTTTTCCATTTTTATATACAAGTATATAAAAGGCATTGGTAAACAGATATTAACTACATTATAGAAATTTACTTGTCAGAGTTTTAAGTGTTGTATTATGTTTACAAGTTAAACTTGTGTTTGTTGCTATCAGCCGTCGAAAACCAACTTTGAAGAGCTTGATGCTAGGACCCGGGGATTGTCAATGAATTACTGTATAAACAGGAGTGAGGAAGACATTGCTGTATATGCCACACAGATTATTGTATGCCTGCTGTATATGCCACACAGATTATTGTGGCTGGAACAGTTAACAGTCCCTTGTGAGCAAACATAAAGGGCTGAAACTGTTACCCATTGATTAGTAGGTGAACAGTTACTGATTTGTTGCAGTTTCAGAAGGTATTGTCCTGTTGGGCTCACCATGGCCCGTGTTACTTGGAACTTTTTGTTCCTGGTAGCGAATCTTTAACAACAACAGTTACAGAAGTTGAATGACAAGATGTAGGTTTTGGGATTCATGTAAAATACTTTGTGTGGTTATAGTTTGTATTTGTCCTCACAACTTGGAAAACAGTTGGCAATAGGATTGATCCCTCTATACTTGCCGTAAATGTTCTGAAGAGGTATTTGTCATTGGACGGCTATTCCTAAACATTTGTATATCATATGTTGTGCATAATCTATTATAAAAAAAAATATCTTTTTATTCTGTTCGCTAGTGAATTCATTTGTGAACATTTCAACAAATTGAGTCACAACCCAACAAATAACTGATAAGCTATTCATGCATTGTTCTCCAAAAAATGAGAAGTAAAATGAAAAGGTAATGAAAAATGTGATTTTCAGTAATTTACAGAGGGACGACTTGTTTTAGGTTCATCGGAACGTTTACTGTCGGAGTACGGGTGACAGGTTTGTGTCATTTGAACGCTGCAGTGTTGTGTGAAATGACAAATTTAGAAAAATAGTTTATAAGGGTTAGGGCAGGGGAAGGCAAATTTGTAGAACACTGCAGCTTTTAAATCTAGGCTGAGATAATGCAGTTTCCATGGAAGCAGGATGTCGTGTAATCATTGTCCAGTAGCTGTACCAGGAAATTATAATTCCAATGGATTGATGCAAGTGCAATATGCTGATTTTTAAATAACTTGAAATGTATCACAAGAGAATGTGGGGAAATTGTTCACTACTGTACTTTATCTACCTTGTGGCGATTATGGGGATTAACGTCCCCATGGCTCAGTCTTTGACCAGGCCTCCTGGTTGCTGGTCTGGTCAACCAGGCTGTTGGAAACAGCTGCTGACAGCCTGATGTATGAATCACAACCTGGTTGATCAGGCAAGTGAACAGTGAGAGTTCTGGCCAGTTATGCCCCTTAGATCTGTAGGTCTTTGACAGGTTGATGACATTTGATTTCTATTGATTTGTTGGTAGAGAAAACTCGACATCCAGTATTGAATTTATCTTGATGTGGCTGAATATTTTGCTTAGCAGCACTTGGTTTCACAAACTAATCCCTCTTGACAGGATGAACAAAGGGCTCGTGATCTTTTCTACGCCTTGTGGATTCCAGACCTTTTCATGAAACGTGTGGAGGAGAATGGAGATTGGAGCCTAATGTGTCCTCATGAGTGCCCTGGACTACATGATAGTTGGGGTAAGCCTTCTTGAATGTATTAACATTTGTCAATAGACCTGTAGACATAATTAGTGTTTGTACAGGCCATGAACCCTTGAAACTAAATTAAGTAAATTTCTAGCTCAGAATTTCTGGAAAATGAGGGAGTTCTTAAGGCAGGGAAAACTACCTTTATAGTTGTAATGGATCCACTCGATCCATTAATCCAGCCATAAGGCAAGGGAATCATGGCAGTGGTCGAGTCAATCTTATGCTTCCATATGTTTTGGACATTATCTTGCAAGGAAGATAATTGAATGTGGGGATTTGGTGATAAAGAAAACCATTACCAGGTATCTGGAGGGGAAAGGTGGAGTGAATAATATAAGCACTAAATAGGGTGGAAGATTTAGAAAAGATTGGGTGAAGGCCTCTTTATCGTAGCTAAAGTTGGAGGAGGGGAACAAGCTTTAAAAAAAAAGATTTATGCAGCATTCGGCACGAATCTCAAAGAATAATACATAATAGCTATTTGTCTCTTGCTTTTGATATATTTAATAATGCAAATTAAATTACCTATACTGTGTGTCTAGGAGGATGAATATCCAAGGCTGGCTGGTGAATAGGTTGTTCCTATTACACACAGAAATCACAATAGCGTGATGCATCGAATGAACAACTCCACGGCTCCTCCCGGACGTAGGTTCGGACCCTCATCACGGCCCTTGTGGATTTGGTCGTTCCTATTGTTCCTGTTATGAGGAAGTTGGGGCCAATAGTAACACTTGGGGGGGGGGGGGAGGGGGCCCACTCACATAATTGGTGGAAGGTGGCTGGCTATGTTCCTGGATTTCTTCACTAGAAATGAACATTAATTCAGTACCATACTTGCCTAATTGTGCTTGCAGAGGGTTGAGCTTCTGCTCTTTGGTCCTGCTTCTCAACTGTCAACTGGTATACAGATTACTGATTGCCTATTGGGCTCTATCATATCTACATTTGAAACTGTGTGGAGTCAGCCTCCACATCACTTCCTGGTGCATTCCATTGAACTACTGACACTAAAAATGTGTATTTATTTAACTGTATTACATTTCTAAAGACACAGGTGGGGGAGGGAAGTTTGAAGAGGGAAGGAGAGGTGGAGAAGGGTGAGATGGGAACAGAGACCCAGGCACAAAGGTATCTGCCTCTAGATAAAGGGCACATGAATCAGTTACGTGTTATGTCGTAGTGCAGTCTGTTGTTATAACTTGTGCTATTCACTAGTTTGTTATGAGCCCAAGTCAACAGTTGCTATGGGGATCTTGAGTCATAACAAGTGGTGTACCAATCTGGACTGGTGTATATTTGTGTATTTCATCTTTACATTTGACATTACAGGTGCAGAGTTTGAGAAACTTTACATAAAATACGAGAGTGAAGGTCGTTTCCGCCGCAAAGTGAAAGCACAGCAGCTGTGGTATGCTGTCATTGAGTCGCAGGTAAGTGCTTAGCTAAAACTATGGAACTGTATTGTTCTTAAATGTGTTCTAGTGTAACTGTTTCTATAAGAACTGAGGTGTAGTTACAGAGCCTGTCTGGTTTTTGTACAAAGTGCTTTTGCAGTTGTTCTAATGCTGTTATACGTTGCGTTTAATGAGGATTGAACTTTACTATTGCAGACCGTTTTCTTTTTTAGGTCCTACAGTATTCACTGGTTTTAATTCTTTAGCTTGGCAAAATATTTGGTAACATAAATGAATCGACTTAATCAGACAAGTCAATTACGAACATTAGGAGTGAAGCCAATACTGAATGATCCTCAAAGAACTCCACTAATCACCCTTCACCATCGAGACATTTCTCAGGGTTACGCTTTTCATATTTCTGGGAATTTACATCTCCCAGGGTTATCCTTTTATATTTCTGGGAGTTTTGTCTAAAGTGCTGTTGTGAATACTGTATTACTGTTGCCAGTGATAATGTATAGCAGTCCCATTTTAAATAGGTAATTCTACTGCACTGGATTAATCTAATCTTTAATTTTTCTAAGACTTCTTCTTGATGTCATTTCTTCTCTTCCTTTTAAATTTTCTTGCTTCCATGTCTAGTATGTCTTCTGATAAGTTTGTATGATGGTTTTGTTTCTCTGCAGACTGTTACTGTTGGTTCAGTCTTTCTGCAGTTTACCTAGTTATTTACAGTTGGATTTCCCCCGATATCCCTGTGCAGGAGCCCCAGTGTGACTTGAAAGTACTAAATGTCTTGGTACTGTATACTAACTTCTAGCTCTTGCTAATGTTTTATGCACAGTGGTATTCACTGAACTGTACAGAAGTCACAATAACGTGGCTGAAGAGGTGACGCCCAACCCATGCTTCTGAAGTAAAGAACCGATGACATTTCAGTCCGTTCTGGACTTGATAATGGTCCAAGAATGACCGAAACATTATCAGTTATTCATTTTCTGATACGAGAGTTGGGAGTCAACTGAACTGTGTGTTTTCCATGCCTTGTAAGTGTCCTTACTTTTCCATCGCCTCTTATTTTAACCGATTTTTTGTTTTTTGTGCAGCATTTTTGCACGTGGAAATTCTTAAGTTGCAACTGCATATCTGGGTGATGCCATCGGTCAACTTGGTTTGCCAACTTTCCTTCTAGATCATTATACCACTCCACTTGCTTCCAGGAAGTACTTTAGCTGTGTAAGCCCTGATATCATTTCCAGAATTGTTTAATGTTTGGCTCACAGGCTTGTAAATTCCCATGTATTGTAATTTGTGCACATAATGTAATGTTAAGTTTATCATTTCTATGATGTTCTTCGTACTGCATTTAACATCTGTTAATTTGTGGTCATGTTCGTGTGGTGTTTAGCTCCAATATATTGCAGGTGGAAACTGGAACCCCTTACATGCTTTACAAGGATGCTTGCAACAGTAAGAGCAATCAACAGAATCTTGGGACAATAAAGTGCTCAAATCTTTGCACAGAGATTGTGGAATATTCATCACCAGATGAGGTAAGAATAAGAAATATTTTAGTAATGGAAAAATATACATACTGAATATGGAATGAGTGATATGATCTATAATTTATGCTTTGCAGTATTCATTAAATGTAAGACCTCTGAAAGGGAACAGATGAGTGAAATAATGTTTTTAAGAATGAAAGCAAATGGTAGCATGGAAGGTGGGTATGCCTTTGTGTGACTGAAGAGCAGTACAGTATAGGGTAATGACTGACTACGTATATATCCCAGAGTTAACCCTTTGTAACCTGACTGCTGCAAGCAGTAAGCCACCATGTTAAAAATGATTAGGAGTTGCCTGGTCGTTGCAAGATTAATGTGTAATTACTGGTGCTGCAAGATTGTGGGATGGTATATTTTCTACATACCATTTCTATATTTCTATATCTATGTAACATGTCTATACTCCGTGGTATAGACACGCGTCTTTAAGGTGGTCAATATAAGGGTATTTGAGGGATGTGAATCTAGTGTTTAATAGGCACAATTGGGTATGAAAGATTTGATGTGTGGTAATTTTGTTTGGAGAGATTTATGTAGAGCAGTTAAATGTTTAAAAGAATGCTAAAAGTGAAAGTGGGTAGAAGTAAAGGTAGTGATGGAGAGGGAGAACATTTGTAAAATTGGTTGGAATAAAGTACTTCAATCTTAGGACTAGTTTAGATACGTGGTACATGCAAATGAATAGTTTGGAGAGAAAGTAGAGTTTTAAGCAAATCGGAAAACACAAGCCAATTCGATGGAAGTCCTAGTTTGCAAGAGATTTTAAAGATGGGCAGCCATGATGTATGAGAAGCATATTTGAATGTGAACAGTGCCAAAGCGGAGGTGAATATGGCTAGGAATGAGCAGTTTGTGAAATAAATTTGACAACTTGACTAGCTGTCAAGTTGTCAAATCTTGACCAACCCCTACATAAAGTGAAATTAAAAGTTGAGATGTTACACAGTATACTGTTTTTATGTAGCAAATGTAATAATTGAGGAAGGGATGTATATTACACATTGAAAGATATTTTATAATTTTCAGATTGCAGTGTGCAACTTGGCATCCATTGCTCTCAATATGTATGTTAACCCAGATAGAACTTACAACTTTGCCAAGCTGAAAGAGGTCACCAAGGTATGATTTACAATATTTTATTATATACTGTATCTAATTTATTAAAGGGTTCATGTGCTTTCTTACTCTATATAGTTGTCATGTATAAATATAGGTTTGATTTCCAAGAATTTTGGTACAGTATTTGTTTGAATGAAAAGGGAAAACTTTAAATAATTTGGGGTCACAGATTTTTTAAATCACGAAGGCTGTATGGATTGAGAGTAGGGCGATGGAATTCATTGTATATAGTCTTTAAAATAATGCCAAAAATTGCACTGGACTTTGCACAATCTTCTAAAGTTCACATTTTGGGTTTTGTTATTGTTGACTGATTTATATAGGTGCTGCTAAGTTAGCTTTGTTGCTAATTTTAATGAAAATTGGTGCCTGACAGTAGAGATAATTTGGGCAATTGTGGAGTGTGAAAAGCAGGATTACCTTGGACTTGAAAAGTTTAATGTACTGCGTTTTTTGGAAATTGTGGCCAGAGCTAGAAAATATGTACATAGCAATTATACAGGATTTGTGCTAGAGTAAATACATACCGAACTATTGAGATAAAACTAGATTTCCATTGTATCTGAAGTTTGCTGTATATTATTTTATTGGGTTTTCATGATAACACAGGCATTGTAGCACATTTTGATAATTTTTAAGTGGGTTTTAACTTACTTTATTTAGCATCTTGATGTTAATTTCTGGTAAAGTAAATGCATTGACTTACTATACCCGAAACGTGTGGTGAACTAAATTTTAAGAAGTGCTGAACCAACTGGGCTGTAGTGGATATGTGGGCCTCCAGGCTGCTCCAAGCAATAGCCTGTTGAACCAAGCTACTGCAAGTCAAGCCTGGCCCTGGGTCAGGCTTGGGTTGGAAATAATAAGTCATATTTTGTAGTAAGGGTACAGATGAAACATTATGGATATATGGAGCCACTTGGCTAATGCAACCAGGAAACCACGAGTCACTAATGAATATAATGTTGGGTGTATATATACATTCATTGTAAGAAAGTGCTGTGATAATTTTAAAGGTTAACATATTTTTCATGTTATACAAAATTCAGGTACCTATTGTATTGGAAAACAGTCATCCCCAATTGAAAACAAAAATGGTAATAAAATACGAGAGTGGGTGCAAGTAACTCGTAGGGGTGCATTTGACAATGAGCCAGTTGTCTCTGTGGACAGTGGTCAAAATAGCCTTTACCGAGTTTGTTCCATATTTCATTGGGACTACTTTCGAGCAAAAGTATCGCTGGATAAATTTGACTCTAATAAGAAAACATCATATGGGGCATTTGAGTAAGCAACAAAAGTTGAAGGAACAAGTCCAATGAAAATTTGCATCAGCAAACTAATGTCTGCAGCTATATGAGGTTTGGCCTACACTAGAATAACTGTTGCAATAAAACTTGAGCAATTGTTCGACTTGGCAAGTTCATTACGGTAATTCGTAACGTGCTTAACAAAAATTTGAAGCGTTAAAATTCTTATTAAATTTTTTTCTTGTGTATTAATGATTTATTACTTCCGGTCACTTTTAATACCATTAGTCATCCATTAATTTAACCACCAGCAAATAGGATGCTATTTGTAGCTTTCTATAAAAGGCCTGCATATGAATAATAATCTACTTCAGGCAAAAAAATTTAGTTGCTTTTTGACTATTCATTTGACCAGGCATAATGATATTTTGTTGGATGTCATGGGACATATCAATTGTCTTCCATAACAATTGAAGAATAATGCAAAAATTGGTTAAAGTAGTTTTGCATTCAATCTTGTGCAGCTTTTATTTATTAAGTGACCAGTTAAATGTCTTGTAAATGGTGCATTTAGAAAAGTCTGGAGTTTTGGGGTTTAAGTGATGTCATTGTTTTCGTTTTTAGGTGGTTACCAGAAATCTGAACAAGGTAATTGATGTGAACTTCTACCCAGTGGAGGAGGCCAAGCGTTCCAACATGCGTCATCGTCCGATTGGCATTGGTGTTCAAGGTCTCGCCGATGCTTTCATTCTTATGAGGTACAGTATTTAATTTCTTATGCTTTTGAGGCATAAGGTATTTCATTTCTTAGGCTTATGAGGTACAGCATTTCATTTCTTAGGCTTTTGCGGCATAAAGTATTTAATTTCTTAGGCTTATGAGGTACAGTATTTCATTTCTTATGCTTATGAGATACAGTATTTCATTGTATAATTTTATCTGGAAGATGTCTGAAGCATTGTAGAGTAACCTGTAAAGGTACTTTTGTAGGAGACTCAACTTCTACTGCAGTTATTTTACCTACTTCTGTTTAAATGAATTTGTATCTATTGTTCCTGTTAGTTTGTATTGTATTCATGTTCCTGTTTTCCTCATTTAAATTTGATTCGTGGATTTTTGCAGTAATGTATACTGCACATATTGAGGGTAGGTTATCTTGAGGTTATCTTGAGATGATTTCGGGGCTTTAGTGTCCCCGCGGCCCGGTCCTCGACCAGGCCTCCACTCCCAGGAAGCCAGCTGACTAACTCCCAGGTACCTATTTACTGCTAGGTAACAGGGGCATTCAGGGTGAAAGAAACTTTTGCCCATTTGTTTCTGCCTCGTGCGGGAATCGAACCCGCGGCACAGAATTACGAATCCTGCGCGCTATCCACCAGGCTACGAGGCCCCCGTTACAGGGTAGCCTGTATTGACATATTTAATGGAAGTGCATGCATCAACTATATAAAAAAAAAAGATCTATGGGATCCCTTTAAATTAAAGTCTTGTATTGCTTACCCTTCGATCCCGGGCGCCGGCGAGAAACATTGGGCAGAGTTTCTTTCACCCTATGCCCCTGTTACCTAGCAGTATAATAGGTACCTGGGTGTTAGTCAGTTGTCACGGGCTGCTTCCTGGGGGTGGAGGCCTGGTCGAGGACCGGGCCGCGGGGACACTAAAAAGCCCCGAAATCATCTCAAGATAACCTTAAGATAACCCCATTTTCAAGGGTGGAAGGCCCTAAGTTTTATAACTGATTAAGTCATGACTTGTGTACGTTTAACACATTTTATCATAATTTTCTATTATTAAACTCTTGGCTGTAAATCTCTAGTTACAGGCTAACACTCTTTGAAACATTAATAAATAAATTTGAAGATCTTAATCTTAAAAAAAAAACAATTATAGCTTTTAATTTGCAATATTTCTCCCTGTAGGTATCCTTTTGATTCTGAAAAAGCCAAGTTGTTAAACAAGCAAATATTTGAAACCATCTACTATGGAGCTATGGAAGCAAGTTGTGAACTTGCTGAAAAGGAAGGCCCATACGAGACATATGCCGGATCCCCCGTCAGCAAGGGAGTAAGTCGACCTTGTTTAGTAAAGCACTGCATGTTCTACTAGGCATAATTTTTGTTATAAGCGTTGTATGAAACGCATTATCAAATTGTCATATTTCAGCGAATTTTTATACTTTTAGAATAAGTTAATAGTTTCAAGTTTAATAGTTTATGAACTTAAGAATAGTTTAAATTAGTTTAAATGGTTCTTTTAAAATTTGATACTCTGTATTTACTAATGTGGAACATTCTGACTGGCTACCTGTTTAGTGAGGGATAGGGTATAAAGTTTTAAGATATCAAGATTTATCATTTGTGAAATGACCTGGTTGTTAGTTGCATATACTAATTCTAATTTAATATTTTACAGATTTTCCAGTATGACATGTGGAATGTAACACCCACAGGTCTTCACAATTGGGCTGCACTGAAGGCTAAGGTTGCAAAACATGGTGTCCGAAACTCTCTGCTGGTTGCTCCCATGCCTACTGCTTCCACTGCCCAGATCCTTGGAAATAATGAAGCTATTGAGGCATATACTTCCAATATATACACTCGTAGGGTTCTCTCTGGAGAATTTCAGGTTAGTTACCATCTTGGAGATTTTGTATGTGCTTGCTTAATGGTTTAATTATTTGGTTACAAACATAGTGTAGTATAATTTATCTTCCTTGCAGACATGCCACATTTTTGTATTAAATTCTTTCAAAATATGGAGTTTCAAATAAGTGTAAATTGTCCTTTAAATGTGTACAAGGCATTTATTTCTACCGTTAGTGAAAAACACTGAAAGGGGGAGGAGACATGGTTATGAAATAATAGATGTAGGCCTGGACAAGGTTGGACAACAGATTGTTCTAGAAAAGCTGGACTGGTTGTAGGTGGAAGCTGAAAATGGATGAAAGCCAAATGGAGGCAAGGAGGCATTTGAGGCCTAAATTTGCAGGTGGTAAAAGAAGTTTATGGGTAATTGGGAATAGGTTGTACCAGATACCCAATTAGAAATGGTGCCCATAGAAATCCTCCCTACTTAGAGGCAAGCCAAATAACTATGTACCAATCTACACACATCCACCTTTCTACCTCCATACCCAGTGTTACATAACTTCTCCCACTGTAACTGTACTCTAGGGAAGGGAACGATACTATCAGGATAAGGATTTTGGATGGGACGGGGGAAAGGAATGATGTCCAACCACTTGGACGGTTGGAGATTGAACGCTGACCTGCATGAAGCAATATGTCGCTCTACCGTCCAGCCCAAGTGGTTGGGCACTTGAATGCTGCACTTCGGAAATGTTGAAGTATGAATTACAGTATTATAACACTAAGTGCTGTAGACACCGTAGCCACCAAGCCACAGGAATGAGGAACTGGAAACGGCATGCACTTGGGGTAAAAGATATACTAAGGTTATCTATACAGTACTAGAAACACCAGTTAGTAATGTACTTAGCTGCTACCACCCTCAGTGTTAAACTGTATTCTATTGATAATTAGTAGTAGTAGTAGTGGCTGTCCATGGCTCTAATGGGGGAAACCAGGACATATCAGATGGAAGTTACTTAAGATCTGCTCTTTTTTGATAAATTACTTGGCACCATTATTTGACTAGTACTCGTTATCTTATATTGACTATTATCTTGATGTATTATAGACTGGAGGTTCACCGATACTTAGTCAGAAGTTCCACTAGGCTTTGGGGAAATATGCCACTGGAATAACAAAAAAGGAATACACTGATACAACTTATCAATTTACTCAGATTTATTAAATAGTACTTGCAACCTAGTCTATGGCAGTGGATGACATAAGTGTATAAGACAGGAGCAGTTACCTTGGACTCTGATTTGCACCACGTAGGTGGTACATACAACATGGTTTATCTCTGGCTTGTGTTTCTCAAGATGGCCCCAGCTGCCTCTCAGAACCCAACTAAAGAGGTCACTGGAGAAACATAAAGGCGACGAATATATGGAAGGGGATGAACACCAGTGGCTTGTGTATGTGTAGGCCACCTGCACCAGCATAAATAGCTCGAGACATATCTCTAGGGATCTGCCAGATGCAACAACCCGTCCAGGAGGCAACCCGTTGGTGACCCCTTCGAGGTCAGCGACCAACTATGCCCATAAGATGTTAGGCTATTGCTTGCAAAGGTGATAGTGAGAATCATTAATTAGTATGCTTACACAGTGACATGTTTAGAGTTAAAAAGGTGCCAGGCAGCCTAACTTTGTGACCTACAGGGGAAAGCACCAAGCCATTAAGACTATATAACACGTGGAAGGGGTCAGGATAAGGATTTGGGATGGGAAATACAGCCACAGAAGGGAATGAGCTCTAGGAATTATACTAGACAAACCAAATCCTGCATATAGTGTCACCTAAAAGGTCGACTTAGACTGAGCCATGGGGATACTAGGTACGGAGAAGGTATCTACTAAATTTCCACCCACATTAATTATTTTTTTCCTAATTAAGTTTCCAACAATATTATTATTATTAATATTTTCTTTTCCAGATTGTAAACCATCACCTCTTACGTGACTTGACAGAACTTGGATTGTGGGACGATGAAACTAAAAATGAGTTGATTGCCAAAAATGGTTCTATTCAGGTAAGGTTTTAAAACTACATTTGGGTATACATGTGTGCCTATAGGTTGTATAAGCTAGTGTTTTATCTGTTGTTGGTTATACAGTAGTATTTACATCTGAAAAAGTAAATGTACGGGGAATTTATTGAACTCTACCTACTTGGACCATTTTTGTTTTAATCACAGTTGGTGTTAAGGTATTTTGTAAATATAAAAAATTTACATTTTTAAATTAAATTTACTAAAGACAATAAATAAGGATTATGGCAGTTTCAGCTACTGTACATAGAGACAGGTGTTGACACATCAGGACCATCTGGCCTTAACTTGCTTGTTTGTTATAAGAATATGTTCATACTTTTTGTATAGATATAATTGTAAAGTTATTACAGATATAAATACAAGCCTACGACTCTTTCATCAAAACTAATGAAATTGAACTTTCAGTTCAGTCGGTCAAGGTCAATAACAATATATAGAAGCATAAGATTCCGTTTTATTACCATTTTTTTTTACTATTATTGCATAAGTATGTGCTCAAAGTATTTGAAAATTATGCAAGGTTTTTGTGATAATTTGGTTACTCAGTAGCTCTGGAAGTTTTCCAAATATTTTCAGATGAATTAAATTAGGTTTTCATAAAATTGCATCTGCATGTGTCATTGTACAGTAGTAGCAAGTGATATGTCCTCTTTTATTTATTTATTTAGGCATCAAATTCCTTCTAACTTCGTGTGCACATGCACACTATTTATTATCTATAATAAATGAGTTTTTTAGCCTAATTGTATAAATATTTGGGAACTAATTATTTAGTGTTAAAAATTTTTCAGAACCACTTGTTTTCTCTAATACAAAACCAACATCACCATTTGCCAGTTGATCCTCCTAAAGCATTACTGTTATAATTGAAATGATAGGTCCCTCGCACCAACTTGTATCTGTTGCATCTAGCACTTCAGATGCAACAGATTTTTGCAACAGATACAAGTTAGTGTCAGCAACCTGTCATACCTAATCACAGTAGCGAACATGGTCGCTATCTTGACCCCTCTATCTTGGTAAAGTTCAACCCAATCCTTGCCAAATTCTTTGGTCATCAAACTTTGAAGGTTCTTTAATCCAATCATGATTGTACAGTATAATCCAGTGTTGTACAGTATATATACAGGATGAAATAGTAAAAATTACATTCTAAATTTTGTAGGCTTTGTAAAGTAATAAATATGACGATTACAGGGTATCGAAAAGATTCCTGCTGATCTTAAAGCACTATACAAGACAGTGTGGGAGATCTCCCAGAAGGTTGTCATTCAAATGGCAGCAGATCGTGGTGCCTTCATTGACCAGAGTCAGTCGCTGAACATTCACATTGCAGAACCAAATTATGGTAAACTGACATCCATGCATTTCTATGCTTGGAAATTGGTAAGTTTCCCATTGCACATTTAGTTAATGCAACTGTATTTGTATTTTAAGTAAAATTATATTGCATTTTGATGAATTTTGCTGGTTAACAATTTTCCTTTAAATGTTATTGATAATGTAATGGTGCAAGTTTGATTTTAGACAGACTTTCTGTAGCTTTTTCTATGTGAACATTTTGCATTACAGTAGTGTCGGCTTAGCTATGATTGTTTTAAGGATATACAGTGTAGTGTATTCTATAACGGGCATTTTAATAAAGTCCTGCAGTAGTTACTTAATGTAATACTATTTTGTTCTACAGGGATTAAAGACCGGGATGTACTATCTGCGTACTAAACCTGCTGCTAATGCTATTCAGTTCACTGTTGATAAATCTAAGCTGAAGTCGTCTACTGCTGCCAGCAGTGAATCGAATGGAACAACAAATGGAATAAAAAATGAAGGATTACAGAACATGGCAGCTATGGTGTGTTCTCTTGAAAATAAGGATGAATGCCTCATGTGTGGATCATAAGACTGGGTTTTTAGGGGAGGGGGGAGGGGTGTATGGATTGGTGAATTGTGTGTAGGGAGGGGCAAGTAGGGTGTGTAGGGAGGGGCAAGTAGGGTGGTCATAAGGATTAGTGCATAAAGTTTGGATTATAAAAAATATAATGATTCATAGTTTAGATCTTGTGCTGAGTTTTTCATGTTTAATATCTTGTTTGGTTCTTATAATGACTGTTCATAATTACTGTAATATATTTGTGTACTATATGCTTTTAATAATTTTTACTTTGTCTCTAGGGGACCATTTTTTTCTTTTTCTTAGTTTAATAAGTGCTTTATTTTAAGGATTTTTTAATTGCTTAATTTTTTTTAAGTTGTGCATTCACACATGTGCCTTATGTAGTAGTACAACACAACCGAGAGCTTACATATCACTGCCACTTTGTACATATTTTAGTATTGTACTCTTTTTTACCATTTAATTTCTTTTATGTAACATATTTCTTCTTAATACAGTATTGCTTGTTTGTATAGAAATTGGTAACTGCAAAAGTATATTAGAGAAACTGATGGGCTTACTTGCCTATTTGTATCCTTATTTGGGAAATCTTCTTCTAGACATTAAAATCTTGGTGCTGAAATTTAAATCATAAATGGACTAGTGTGTGAGGCAGCACAAATTGTGCTGCAGTGTGCATGGTCAAAGAAAACTACCATTGATGGAAAATAATGTTTTTTTCCCATGGTAGTGTTTCTATACATGGCTCAATTCCTGTTGCCACCAGACATGATTTCTAATCACATTCTTGTTACATTTGTCATTAAATTTACCAATTGATTTTGTCTGCAAGTGTGAATATAGAGTTGCATCAGGTACACTAAGTGTATTGCATTTGGGAATATTTCTTGAGTGTGATTTGTATTAATAAATTTTGTATAATAAACTTTCTCAAAGATATTTGCTTCTTCATACATAAGATTTCTGATGAATTTGTTTTTTCAAGTTATTCACTAGGATTAAAGACTTGTAGAAACAAATCGGCTTGATATATAGGTAAACAAAGAATTTGTAATGATTGCACATAAGAGTAGTTATTACCTTTGACAGGAAAATACTGAACCAGATTACCAACCATTTGTTACTTTTGTAGTCTTTCATTCACCAAAGTTAAACTTTATCTGATGGTTAAGAACAAATATAATGTACTGAGAATTTATTATATATCTAAAGTTTTAACTTCTGTTAAGCTTGTATATCTGTTTGCTAATGCTCGAATCATTACATTGGTAGTGAACTTTTAAGTACCTGACATTGTCCAACAAAAAATAAGGCATTAACTATTGTCTGTAACTAAAGTAGTTCTTAAAATAATGTTTACTTGTATTGAAAAGCTTAAAATGATTAACCACTACAAATGCCCTGCATTTAAATATGACGCCCCTGTGGTGTGCAGAAAATAATTTCCAAAATTTTTCTTATATTGTTAAAATGCAATCTCTGATCGACAGAAAACTACAGTAAAATATTGTATGCGATATACTTTAGCTGTGATGGAGCCGAGAAGGTGAGCAATTTATGATCGCTGAATGATGACACTTGGGGACACCCTCATGGGGTGGCAGTTGCTGCAAGTATAACTTCATAATTATTTCTGTCTCAATTTTTTTTTTTTTTTTTTTTTTTTTTTTTTTTTTTTTTTTTTTTTAATATTCTAAAGTGAAATTTGTAGAATTTATATATTCAATGTGTGAAACATTGCTATGTTCAAAATTATGGAGCTCATATGGTAATACATGTATATTATATTCTGAGATCAGTGTTTTTGCTGTTATTACACTATACACACACACACACACACACACACACACACACACACACACACACACACGTATATGACCACCTACATTTTTGTGCACCAAAATGAATCGCTAAGATCATGTGTTCAGAGTTGATATATATACAGAATAAGAATCCAAGGTCAAACTAGCAACCGACAGCAAGTGTGGCAGGTGCTGCCCCAAATACATTTTTAAATACAGTACAGGTAATTGTCTGTGAATGGTTTTATATCTAGTTTTTTGCACTAGTATTATTCAATATTTTTTAATTTATGTAGTTAAAGATGTGGAACATCGATATTCTAAAAAGTATGGGGCTCATATATGGTGACACGTATATTATCATCTTGGATCAACTAAAGTATTCTTGCTGTTATTAAGCTATATATGCATGTTATGTATCACTATCAACATTTATATGCACCATATCAAACTAAAGCAGTTCTGGTGGTATGGTGATGAAATCAACACACAGCATGAAGCCACAAGCAGACACCAGCAGTCACGTGATGTAAGACAATGCCCCAAATATTCTACACATCTTGCTGTGACTAGCTGCAAAACTGCTGCTGTTATCACTTTCCTGTCAAAATCCCGAATATGAATATTTCAACAGAGTTATATTGTGAAGGAACATAAGTTTGTTTCATGGTGCATATATGCAGAAAATAATGGCTGGGTGCTGTCTGTACCCCATACTGTGAATATCATAACTAGCATTGTATTCACTGATATCTGAACATTGTAGTCTTTATCACGATCATGTATGACATTATAAATGCAAAATAATGTTACCTATTTTATTCATCATTATTAAGTGGTGCTGTGGCCCTCTAGCTGTACAGCAGTGCTGTGAGCTGCTCCTAAATGTGCCAACCTTGGTCGCACTATACTAAGGCACTCGCAGCCAGCACGGATGCTGTCTTTTTTTTTTTTTTTTTTTTTTTTTAAGATAGCGTCTGTTTACTAGTCCTGAGGCACAGGATGCAAGCCCTATGTACCTGTGGGAGTTCTGAATCGCTCTGCACTAGTACAGTGTACCAAAAAGCACCATATGGCGCTTTGAACACCCCCGATCAAGTGCCTTTAGGTGCTCTGCGTAGGCAGTGGTTAATGTCTGGAGTAATTATAAAGTAACTAAGCTGGGAAGATGGTGTAGTACCATCAGTGTCACTAGATATTCAAATGATGCTATATATCTTTATCACTAATGCTTCACAAAGTAGCACCAGTGGGGTGGTGTAGGGAACCATCAGAATATAGTATTAGTGTCAGTGTTTTTTACAGGGCAGTAATTCAAAGAACTTATCACTTACAGATTCATGGTTTGGTCATTTTATCTGCATAAATACAAAAATTATCTGTAAACTATCTACAGATGAATTGTTTACAAACTTTTAATACAGTACTGTTAAAAAACTAAATATCCAATACAAAATTATTTAACCCTCTGGCTGCAACACCTATCTTTGTTTTTTTTCCCCCAGAAGAGGGTTAATAATAATAATAATAAAAAAAAATTAAATGCCAGTTTCTGGGTGAACCTCTGGGCTCCCTCAAGCTACACTAAATATATTTAGTATACTAAATATTGTACTAGGTCACTAGGTCACATGAGCTATGCAGTTGTACAAGCCGAGCAGGGACCAGTGCTAAAGCCTGGCACACTCAAAGAGGCCCAGGGAGCAGTGACATTTTTCACCTCACTGGAGAAAGAAATCTGAAAATCAGTGAGTCAAAACAAATCATGGCTGGCTTGAAAATAGACATACTGTACTGTATAGTATATACATATATAAATTATTTATGCAGTGCAGTCACTTAGGCAAAAATTATATTGCATGCATACACAGTGGAATGGTTAGGTCCAGCAGTGGGTTGTCTTGACTTTCTAACTGCCTTTTCCAGTGAGGTATCAAAAATGTCACCCATCCCTGTGTCTCTGAGTAAGCCAGGTTTTGGAGACATAGTAGATAGTACTGTACCATATTAGTACAGTATAGACAGTAGCTTCAGAGAGCCAAATTTAAAAAGTTGCATTTCTAGTAAGGAAGTGCTAATCTTTTAAGCTATTCAGTTAAATTAAAAAAAAATCAGTTAATAATTATTAACTCATTATATATGCAACCAATTTTCCTTTAATTATTTTTAATTTTGAATGCAGAGAACCTAGACAAACATTACATGATTTAAAATTATTTCATAGCATATGAACATGAAATGTGTAGCATATTTTTAGCCATCAAATGCTGGTGCTTACTGCAACCAAAGGGTTAATCTTACTCTGATGGCTCTAGTCTTAAAAACAAATTGAATATCAGGTATGAGAATGTGTGTTTATAAAATGTTTACTGAAACAAGGAAATTACCTCCATGGCAGGCTGATACATGTACAGTAGTGAAAATCAGTGATCTCTTTCCTCGGGTTATCGATACTCTAATCCAAGATGAGCAAAGATGGACGCTTCAGTAGGAGTCTAGTAGATGTCCTCCTGTAAGTTTTTCCCGACCCTAAAATTGTATTTAAGCATTAGTTGGGTTCAAATCTATGAAGTTTATTTGTAATACTTAATAATTAATCATTTTTAATATAGATTAAAAATGATATAGAGCAGGCTAAACTGTTGAACTCTTTTTAGTCACCCAATTCAAGGCACAATTTTAATGAGGTAAATCAACTCTCAAAAATTAAAACAAAATGTTTGTCTGTCTTAGACACTTATCAAGCTGAAGCTGAGCGAAGGGAAAAACTAAATTTTCCCATGATCATCCTACTGGCTGTCAAGATAGCCAGTGGGATGATGCTGACTGCCTAGGTTTGAATCTTTGAGGGATCATTAGAATTTATAGTTGTAAAATTGACTTTGGGACCATTCAGACTTTGCACAAACAAAGAGTACTGGGAAGATGAGACACCCACGAGCATAGCTCTCATCCTGTAACTACACTTGAGTGATTGCATACACATTTCCTGTGCATGACAGACAATTAATATTAATTATGTGCAGTACATGTAATTCAATTTGGCCATAACTTAACAATATGTAACCATAAACCGTACAACATTAAAAAGATTTGACATGTCTAGTGAAATTTCAATGTGACATTAAGATATAATGACTGAAAGGATCAGATGTACACAAGGAAGAATGGTTATATTTATCCAAACCTGTCCGACAATCCCTGCACGAAGGCCGTGTTCAGAAAGACTCATTCCCATCTTGGTTGCCAAGAGCCTCATTGATCTGTAAAACAGGCTCTTTGCTAGATGTAAGCAAGATAACTACCCTCTTGTGATCAATAATAGCGAACTTTTTATAAAAAATTATACTGTAATTTTAAATGGTTGCAGGATGGCAAGTTGTAAAGAGATCCAGTATAATCCTAACTTAAATCAGTGGAAACATATAATGAAAGTAATAAGGGAAACTGCAGAGGATCTATTGGCCTATATGAGGCAGCTCTTATTTATGTTACCTGGTATGTTGTTACATAAATCTAGAAACCCTGCTTCCAAACGAATATTTACCCAAGAGTTTTCATAAATCAAAACATAAGCAATTTATATCAAGCTACAATTTATAAAATTCATAATTGGGCTACAAATTAATAAATGCATGAAGTTTATAAGTCATAACACATTTAATTAGAAAACATGATTGGTTAGTAATTCACTGATGTAAGCCTGACATTATCTAAAACAGCATTTCTCAATTCTAATTCCACAAACTCCGTGGAGATGAAAGTTGGAATTCCCTAAGAGATAATGATAGTCTAATTCTAATCATATGCCAATGTATTTTTGAGTTCACAAAATACTCCTGGAGGCATCTCCAGTTGCAACAAATCCCTCACTGCAATGTACTGGGGTTGGTCCCAAATAACTCATTGAACTGAGGCTGCACTGTACGTAATGTGAAAGGTGACTAACAGCACCAAATAATAATAGTACATGTTTGCAATGAGTGTAACCCGTATCTGTGTAGGCCTACAGTTGAGCCTGATATCCTAATATCCTGCTGTACAGATAATGCTACATAATCTCCAGTGGCTTGGTGCCTTCTTTTGATACAGTTGAGCTTTGATGCTTCAGATCACAATACAATATGTACTGGTA